TATCAGGACAGTTTGACAGCGATCAGGGTTTAGAAAACTGACTTTGTTTTGTGAACTTCTAATCGTTCCAGTTTGCTTTCAAAATGAGAAAAAGCGAAGCAATCGGGAGCTTGTTGTGCAATATCAGGCACCATGAGAATTTTTTTTTTATTTCTTACCGCATCGGACGCTGATTTGTTACGTCACAAAACGAAAAATCGCTTGTATCTAATCTGAACGAGCTTATAGAAATAATGAAAGAGTAATGGATAATGTAAAAAGATGTGCATCTTCATTGCAATTTTTAAAACTTCCTACTGAACTGTTGACTATTTACCAGAAAACTAACCAAACTACCTCCTTGAATTCCTCTGTTAATATTATTTGATTAGTGCAGAAAATTCATAGGATAACAGATGATCGATCTGATAAGTTGCTTTTGTAGAAAAAATTGTATCCTCTGAATCCATCTTAAATAAAGATGTATACTCACTCTGGCTGTTTTTGTGACAACCAATTTTTTTTTATTTAGTTATTTTCACAAAAATATCCTACCACCACAGTACATTTCTGTACATGACTTTTATTTCACAAATAGAATAACTAATAAATTAACTTTTGCAGTATAATTTCTTTTTTGTCTTTTTATTTATATAACCCGCTCCATCCACAGTACCTACACTTTCTTTTCTATCAGACAGCATTCGTATAAGAATCAGTTGTTTTCAAAAGGGAACCGGTCCGTTCCTCGATGAGTCTAACACAGTGGTTTAAGCAAAACAAAATGCTACAAAAATTTACCCAAAAACGGTTTTCATGGGTTAATTCTATGGCACATGTGGACTGAAAATCGCCGAAAATCAAAATCTTGGCTTATCCTAATTTCGAGATATTGCAATTTGAAATTTTCATAGTAAATACAAGTTTTCTACTGATTTTGATCCGCCTTTTTATTTATGTCTCCATTGAATTGGTGTTGATCGGTGCACGTTTTAATATTTCGGTCGAGACATGCATATACATACCCTCTCGTTACAAGCAGACCTCCTATCATACTCTTATTTTAAACTAAACAATTCGCCTTCAGCTTCGTCTGCAGCAATTGTTCCTACGAATATGTTCTGCGTGCTGATTATAGATCATTACATACTCGACTCTCTGAAGGCGTTTATGTGTGCAAGTATCGCGCTCTGTCGGAGAACGAACGAAGTACGGATTGAGCCGTCCAATCTTACCTCTGTTGTCCTCCAACAGGGTGCTCTACTTTCGCAACATTAAACGCCTTCAAAGAGTCAAGTATGTAATGAACTGAGATCAGCACGCACAACGTAATCGTAACCACAATTGCTGCGGACTCAGCTGAAGGCGAATTGATAAAAACTGTGTAATATACGTTGAAAATCATTTTAGTTTTTTAATTAATATTGTTACCGATAGAGAGCTGTGTTTTATGGTCATTTAATGGAGGATTCTCGAAAACTTTTCTACATAAATTAAAAAATAAACTAAGTTTAAATGAAAAATAAAAAATCATGCACTAAAAATTTTCATTCTTGGCGCATCGAGCCACTATGTCGCCACGAAGCGGTTGTATTGCACTGTATCATACGAGATTGAAGGCACCTCAACGTATCGTGATTGATGGCATCTTTCAAAAGCACGAAGTTCCCTCGCAAATTAAATCAAGTGACAACTACTAAAAGAGAGCGGTAGTGGACAAACGTATTAAGTCCTAATATCTGTATTCATTAACATGATATTCATGATTTTTTAATTTCATTCGAGAGAAAAGTGTTCTGATTCAAGCATTTTACCGGCGAGAAGATTCCTAATGAATCAATAAAGAAAAGAATGCACAAGTGAAGAAGAAAATATGCTAATTTAAAAAGAAAAGTCAGTTACATTAAGCAGAACCTTGCTTTCACTCAGCGATTTTATTGTTGATTCAAAACAGAATCGTCTTGATGGCATGCTTCAGAATGTTTCTGCCCAAATCGAGTCATTTTGTTCTCTAATGATTTTTATAATTGTGCTAAACGTTATTAAATACGGATGCTATGACTTAGTGAGTCTTTGGAATACCGCTCTCTTTTTGTGCAATAGTATCTTGATTTATTTTTCAAGGAAAGCACCATTCTCTTAAAGGATGCCTGTCATTCTTAATATGTTGGAGAGCCTTCAATTTCGTATGACACTGTGCAACACCTCTGTTGCGAAATAGTTGCTTGAAGCGCCGCGGCCCACCGGGCGCGGGCGACACGCGCATCGGCGCCTACAAACCTAATAGGGATACTTCACCCATTGCGCAATGCGTGAAGTATCCCGTAGGTTTGTAGGCGCCAGTGCGCGTGTTGCGCTGACAGCACGCCGCTCCGCTCTGTGTTTGGCTATAATGTTTTAACTCGCGGAGTCAGCGTTTTTCAACTCAGGATTTTGAAATGTTTGCACACTCCGCATGGATTATTCTTAGTTAGTTAATTTTATTTAACGACGATCAGCATCTAGGCTATTTACGTCGGGGACTAGGCAATTTTAAATTTTTAAATTTAGTTTCTTGAAGAGTTTTAAAATTTCTGTTACTACCATTGGACTATCTGAACACAAAGGGTGCATATTAAGAGGGAGGGAACTTCGAATTTTGATACGTCATTTAAATTGATTTAAAAAAATATATATGTATTAAAAGAAAATATAATGTGCGTTTTGTAAATTTTAAGGTTGTACCGTGTCACATTTATTGATTTCCAAAACTTCTTATTTTTTTTCTTTAATATTTTGTGCTTTTACTGTACTGCCCATGGTGTACGCGGAACCAAACGCTTGAAATTGGACGTATTTGACTCTAAAAAATCGATGTACAAAGGGGTTAAAACAAAAAATTCCGAGCTTTTTGGTTTTTCCCCTCTTTTATTCATTATTGTATAGTATCTTTCGACCACGGATCGTTGAGATTAATATTGATGCCATTGTTTGAAAAAAATTGTACCAATATTTGCCACTTTTAAAAAATGTACATGTTTTTCAAATTAAGTAAGTTAGTTACTATAAATATATTTTAAGACATTCAGCGTCAATTTTCATGAAAAAAGGGTATTTGTATATAAGATGTATTTCATAGCGAAAATTTTAAGGATAGAAATAAAACAAAATATTCCCCAATGACGAAATGGAAATATCAATCAAAAGAAGAAAGTAAAATTTCATTTAAAAAATGAGTTATCACAACAACACCTTCTCTCTCGATTTTCTCATTTCGATATTGCCAATATAATTTTATACGCAGACTAAAATATAACTCTTGGGCTTGGACCAAGACACTGTTGCTTATTTTATATGCGTGGGTGTAAAGTATTGAACACAACAGGTGTGCGGCCTAATAATGTTTGACCAAGACCTAAATTTCATAAACACGTTTAAACCTTGCAGAGTTAAGGAAAAACTTGAGAAGTATTACCAATAAATCCTCTGAATCATTAAAAATCCATGTCATAATAAGAAATGAAGAGGAAAGTTTCGAATTCATAGATGGAAATGACGTTTTGGGATCAGTGGCGTGGCGTGCTTTGCGATATATCGATTGATGCGCCACCCAAAGCTATGAAAAAAGATCGATTATCAGGGTGTTCGCAGCGAACACCTCAGTTATCGATTCTTTACCATAGCTTCAAATGGCGAGATATCGATAATCGATCATTCACGCCACGCCATTGTTTGGGATATCGGTCGGAGCAAAGTCTCGGAAGTCTCCAAAGTATATTTTTCAAGCACTGGAAACGCTACACCTACAATAGATTCGGACCCTGCAAACCGTTTTTGGATGCATTTTCGTCAAATTTTGCTTTGGGCATTGTGGTGATAGCGCTTCTTCAGTCATAGTGGGAAGTTTAGGCTGAACTTCCAGGCAAGAATAAAAATTTGTAGTGCGGAATATTTTATTTTGCATTTAAACTTAATTCATTTTTTAATTTATGTCGAAAAGTTTGTCGAGAATCCCCCATAAAATGACCATAAAATACAACTCTCTATCGGTAACAATATTAATTAAAGAGCTAAAATGTTTTTCAATACGGTGTTTACGGTTGATATCAATTCGCCTTCAGCTGAGTCCGCAGCAATTGTTGTTACGATTATGTTGTGCGTGCTGATCTCAGTTCATTACATACTTGATTCTTTGAAGGCGTTTAATGTGCGAAAGCAAAGCACCCTGTTGGAGGACAACAGAGGTAAGATTGGACGGCTCAATCCGTACTTCGTTCGTTCTCCAACAGAACGCGCTACTTGCGCACATAAAACGCCTTCAGAGAGTCGAGTATGTAATGATCTATAATCAGCACGCAGAACATATTCGTAGGAACAATTGCTGCAGACGCAGCTGAAGGCGAATTGTTTAGTTAAAAAAAAGAGTGTGATAGGAATTCTGCATGTAACGAGAAGGTAAGTATTCGATCGGCATGAATCGAAGGAAATATAAGAATCAACACCTATTCAATGGACAAATAAATGAAAAGGCGGATCAAAATCAGTAGATTACCTGCATTTACAATGGAAATTTCAAATTGCAATATCTCGAAATTATAATCAGAGAAGATTTTGATTTGCTGCGATTTTAAGTCCACAAGTACCGTACAACCACCCCATTGAAACCGTTTTTGGGTACATTTTTGTCGCATTTTTGTTCGCTTGAAAACCACTGTGCTTAGTTACCATGGCCTTTGATACAAATCAAGACTCATGCAAATATAAACTTATTCCCTTTTGAAAACAACTGATTCACATTTGAAACACAGTGCAGGTGTCTCCTCCCGTATTTTCCTCTCAACTCCTGCGTGACTGATTTCGTTGAGACAGTTAATAACACTTAGTAGGTTTTTAATTTCCACTCTCCCCCAGGTCTAATGAAATAAACTGGAGGAGCCCAAACGAACCCATAACAATGAATTGTCGTTCTCATTCGAGTAAGCTTAAATGAATAAGAAATTAAAGAATTTTTGGGGGTTGATAAAGAAAATTGAGTAGGATAATTGAACATATAATAAATTTATTTCATCACTGAAGCCAAATTAAAGTAAAAAATTATAACGGCATATCATAAGAGAATAATTAATAATCTTCAGCTGCCGCATCTGACCGAGATTTTGGTTAGAAAAAAAATGTAAGCATTATGATATAAATTATACAGACTAAATCAAAATTAAATTAAATAAATAGATAAATAAATAAATACATGGCTAAAAAGATAGATAAATAAAAACGTACACAAGCATGAGGGAGGACTCATTTTGTTTTGGACGTATAAAATAACAACGGTTTAAGGAATCGTTCCACACTGAAAAAAAGTATGGTAACATCTACTATAAGTATACTTGATTTTTTACACAGTGATGCACTATTTGTGAAAATAACTAAGAGCAGAATCATAGAGGTATTCACCAGAACTCTGGTGATATACACCATAATGTGGTAGATGCTACAATAGAGTCTGGTGGTTATTACCATACTCGTATCACTGTTATAAAGTATGGTATCATCTACCATAATTTTTTTTCAGTGCACCTTAAGTCAAATGGACACCTTAAAGTGTGATAGTGGTAGGAACAACGATATTATAACTCATGAGGTCGCTGAGGAAACATTCATTACTTATCTCACTCTCTCACTCATTCATTCTTACTCACAGAGGTTCATTTGTACGCAATGAGTTACACCACTCGGTTACATCCCCGATCCAATTTTGGATACATGCTAAACTCACTTGTATGGCCTGAGTTTGAAAAAGCAATCTGCTTCAATCGTATACGTGTTGTATCAGTTCAAATGTTTTTCCTAGTGAAAAATACTTTTCATCCAATAGCCGACGTAAAACATCTGCAAATTAACAAGAGGCTGTGCTTTTCTCTTGACCAACTTTGCCCCAAAACTTTGGAGGAAGCCAGAGGCCCCCACCTTATTCATGCATGAGATTCTCCAGGCGGAAATATTGGGATAAAAGGTGTTTTTTTTTTTTTTGCTGGGCTAGCAAGTTCAAGCGCTAAAGTGCGTGAAAATCTCCTACTTGATTGTTGATAGAGAAGTCAGCATTAGATATATGGTTCCCATATTTAAAAAAATAAAAAAATAATTAAATGCCTGATGATTGTTAAGCTCATGATCTGGATCAACTTGAGGTCATCTGCTGTCAATCTGATCAAAGCAATCATAGATATTTTTCATTGTGTGCGAATAACTCTCAGTCAAATAATTATCATAATGTTCTTTCATAGGATCAATTTCATATCTATGATTAAATATATGCTGCTCATTTGCCACATATTATGGATGAGGATTATTATCAGGCGCCAGAGGCTTTGAAAAAATGTAGGACCATTCTTAAATCATTTTCTAAAAACTAGCAACTATCGCGTCTTACTCGAGAAAAGCTTTTCAAAAATAATCACACCTATAAAAGCAATTCTATTCAAAACGAAAACAAGTATAATATTCAGAATAATAAACTACGCTTTTAGAGGAGGTTTATCACTGGCCTCCTCTGCTTGCACAGTTATTAATCGTGAAAGACGAAAATTAACACGTATCTCGGTTGCGACGTTGCAGAATCTCTAACTCTGTTTTATATTTTTTTTTTAAAAACCAACGCTATCGTTTGAATTATTTACACTCGTATATTCTATTTGAGAAAAATCAGCTTGAATGACCAAATGACATTCTCATCAGTTTTCCCACAAAATATGCGATGTAAAGAGAATTTAATAAGTCGCCAATTGAGATAGGTGTTTTAAGTCTCATTCTTCGTTGTGAAAAAAAAATTAATTAGCATTGAATACATAAACGTACCTAATATTTACATAATAAAGATTTTGACCGGGGATTGTCGCCTCAAGACTTTTGGGCGTCTAACTTATTAACCCCAGCACTAAAATTTACAATTTCTTCGTGTTCTAATTACAAACGCTGAATTAAGTTTCTCTGGAGCGAAGAGATTATTTCACAAAAACGCCACCTCAAATGATTCGAGGGGCGGGAAATAACTTCATTCGATATAAGTTTTGACTGAAAAATAGACAGTAATGTCTGAGAGAAAATGTGGGTCAATGTGTGGTGTTGTTAATCATAAAATCCACTCACGGTGATTTTATTCCAGTTTGGAGACTTTACTGAAACTTTTTGATAACTCGTCAAAAAGACAGAAATCTTGCCTAATTTTCTTTTCCATCACAAGGGTAAAAAAATATATGAACACTTCTGAGTGATTGCCTCAAATTGTAGTTACTTCGAAAGTACATGTAAAGTTATTTCCATTCTTCCTTTCTTTTACCTACATTAGAGGAGGAAATAGAATTTAAAAATAAGGACAAAAATCAAGCATCATTCTCAATTTTGTCTTAAAATTGTTCGTGCTTGACTCACACTATATGAGTCGAAAAATCAAAACCAGTATTTTACGCCGATAAATATTCAAAACAACACTCTTACGACATGTGTCTCAAATGCACAAAAAAAAATTAGTAATATTTCAGCTGCTACGTCTGAAAAAGTTCGTCTGTAGACTCTAAATTAAAGCTCAAAGTATCCAAACGTAAAATGAATCGTAGAATCTAATTGATTGAATGCTATATTTCGCTACTAATCTCTTTCGGATACGTCAAGCTTTAATTTAAAGTTATAATAAGATACTCAGAGAATAAGCGGTTGATCATGCCTCTGAGCATGGCCACTCGAAATTTGGCTGAAAACCATATATAAAACCAGTATTTTGGCAAAATTTAATTGATATCTCGATGTTTCTTTACATCCGGATTATATTTACTGTGCATACGTTTGATTCGGAAGAATTCGTAACTCCGTGAGGGGCCAGTGCTCATTTAGAACTGGTTCCTCCAATTGTGGCGTTCAAAATTGAATCTATCTCTGAGTGTTTTTAAAGTTATAACTATCCTATGTGACATTTAATCGACTGATGTATTGTCATAATTTTTCAATGTAGTGTTGGGCTTAAACGGTGGTGAGGACGCCAGCGCCGAGACCGAAGCCGCAGCCCTTGGGTCCGTAGCTCTTGGCGTAACAGCCACGGCAGTAGATCTCGCCGTCTGGGCCATCGCACAAATTCGTTGAGTCGAGGGACTTGTGGCAAATCCTACAGTTGAAGCATCGCTTGTGCCAGATCTGAAATCAGCCGGAGAGCAATAATTTAGGTATGAATTAGAAATGAGCGGAAATTTCCTAATTCTATTGCATAGATAAAAATGTTTACGAACACTGAACAGCCCGAGACAATGGTAACTAACGCTTCTGTCAACATAGTCTATTAGTTCTAAGCCGACAGTTCGACAAACAATATCGATATGAGTATCGTCAACTTTTCTGTTCAGGCGTTGAGGTCTCTGGGCCGTGTTCATAGTCACTGCTTAAACAGCCCTTTCTTGAGAGGCTCTATATGACCTACATTGTGACGAAGGAATGTTTAAGGAAGTCTACAACATGGCATTCTAAGAAGGACGGTATTTTTGAACCTTCACAGAGATTGAAGAGTGAAAATTTAGAAGTAGATATTTGTAAAACATGATTAAAATATAATTGAAGCACTGTTACTTATTTCCGGCACCACAAATTTTAATGATAAAACATCGTCTAAATCCCGTATCATAGATCAAAGTAAAGCTCTCAAAGTGACGTCAAAAGGGGTCACGTGACTCTCCATTGGCCTCAAAGGCGACAATCTTTGAGGGTCACGTGACGTCACTTTGAGAGCTCTACTTGGATCGTATATGATATGGGCTTATGGTGCTAAAATTCTTATCCTGTCCAGTGGTCAATTGAAAAAAAAAGCTGAATATAAAAAACTGTCGTGCTAAAGAAATGCACCGTATGAGCCTTCGAAAGTTGCTAAACTTCGTTCGATAAATCACAGATTCTCGGAAAAATGTGTAAATATTTCTCTCCAAATTTTCAGCAAATTCTATTCGCAATTTGATCTGAAATGTCCAAAAGTTTCGGTGAAAAATTTGCATAACTTTCCTTAAAATATAAGTGCTTTTGGAATAAAGGTAACATTTGCATTCTCATAAGGTATTTTTCCTCAACACAATAGCGTGGAGTTCGTTATATGCGGTTCTAGTTTATAAAGTCCAGGTTCAGGAGCCATAACCTTAGCATTATCCCTTCAATAATTTTGAATTTCTCTTCAGCTTTCTGTAAAACTATGCTTCTAAGGATTTTTACTGAGCAATAAGAAGAAAATTGAAAACTTCTCACCGATTTTTTACTGATCATTTGTTCTGCAGCGTATACTTCGTAACCGCATCTTGAGCAACCCTTGCCCTCCGGTGCCTTGGGTCCATGCGATGGCCTGGGCTCTGAGCTATAATCACAAAAACAAAAATAACTCAAGATCAGCCCCAATGGATGAACAAATCAGAATAGGCACAATGAAATAATTTCTGACTGAAAAAGTTTGTGTTTTTCATCAAAGATATGGCTGTTATTGACCGGCTTGCCAAGTTGGTGCTGCTCGCCGATTAAATTGGAGTTGCTCTTCGCCTAAAATGGTACTGATAATACTTGTGGCAAGGGGTCGTTGGTCTATGGCACTAATTGTTTGGTGTAAAACACAAATTTTCCTGGTGCACGGCACCTACCATGGTTTATAGCTGGATAAACATTACCAAACAGAAATTCAAAAATAATTTGCAGAACATATTATGTCCATTCGTGTGACCTATAAAGTTTTGTCCCCATATTTTTCTGTGGGTCTTAGTTTTTGTCAAAAGATCAAATGCTGTTCAATCTTCTTTTTCCTGTCCCCACCTCCAACTTTAAATTAAAAGGTAGAAGTACTAAAAATGGACATATTTTTTAGTTTTTCATTCAGTCAAAAGTATTTTTAGTTCATTAAAGAATGATAATATAAAAAGTTCACCTCTATTCTCCTGTTTGAATTGACACCAACAATTCAATTTTTTCAAGAGCATAACTGTACCATATTTGTCCAAAATTTTGCTGACTTATACTTGTAATTTAAAGATAAATCACCGAAATTTCCAGTCTGCAATACCCATCACTGTATTTGTGAAAATATAATTTGCAAGTTAAAATTTTGCAAATTGACATTTACTTCCATTCTTTCGCCTGTAAAACCACAATTGTAGCATCGAGTGGACTGGTAAATACTTTGCTGCTTCTGAGAATTGTTTTAAAAAAATTTTGTATAAATGATTCGTATAAGAATGGTTTTGCTAGACAACATCAGGAATCACAGCACATTACAGAAACATAGCAGATGGCGAAACTTACTAGTTGATGGTGGGCTCTCCGCCAGTTGAAACGAGGGTTGGAGTGTGGCCGTATCCAAAACCTTTTGGACCATACTTTTTGCCATAGCACGCACGGCAGTAAATCTCCTTATCCGGTCCATCGCAAGCGAGCATTGAGTCCAAAGGCCTGTGACAAGCAGCGCAATTGAAACAGATCTTGTGCCACATCTGCGCAGAGAAAATTTATTTTAGTTAAAATGCAGGATATTGAGAAATGTATAGTTGAGATCGGTTAGTACATATTTCCATTGGTTCTTTTGAAAATCTCCGATTTATTGGTAACAGAAAACGCGAACACGGAAAACGATGGATTTTCGGTTAAATTTGGTGACAGTGTATGCGAATTACTCATAAAATTATAGCTTTTTTACGATTCATCTAATCGAACAACCCGCACTTTGATATCTTTAACCGTTCAAAAGTTATGGGGTGAACGTGTTTTGACTTCAAAAATGGCAACATTGAACTCGAAGAGAGGGGGGGGGGTGCTTGGGACAGAATCAACCCTGGAGTTGGAGGTCGGAGTGAACCTCTTTCACGGGTATGAATTTTATACTTGGAAGCGGGGCATTTTGAGAGTTCCGTGCGTACAATCGCCTTACAAGTGAAACCGAGGGTTGGTTTTCTTTTAAAAATAAAACCTGAGCAAAAACTTGCAACGTCCGAATCGAAGAAACGCATTTTTCGACGCCAGCCATCTACATTACGGTTGTAACATTCATGATCTAGATACTTAATTTTTATGCATCACTTGATCTCAAATCTGGCAAACTCCTTCAGTTAATAGGATATGCAAATATTCGTGTTCATTATACGTCAAATTTTCAGACCCTCGAAATTGAAGGCGTTTTTTTGGTGGAATTGTTTCACAGCAATGAGGCTATTAATATTCATGTAGAAGTAATGTTCGGAGGAAATTAAACGCACATTGGTGTGCTATTATTCATAATGTTAAAATGTATGGTTCAAAATATGTAGCATACTTTAAGAAATGTGAAAATTTTACGGTGATAATAATTATGGTGAATATTTATATTTTGGGCTGTCTGTAGACCTTGACACTTACTTTCGAACTCACGATTCCCGCAATATTTATACTTTCCTTTTCTTTTTAGTTCTTTGTCCCTTAACAAGCTTTTGAGGCTCACAGAGCGATTTAAAGTTACATTTTCATTTAACCGTAAGTTACGTTACGTGTAGTTGAGAGGTTGGAAAAAATCAAAGTTTGATGAGGGTCAAATTGTATGTAAAAATCTATTACCTGTGCCTAGATATTTTGTAGAATGTAATGATAATTATGTGTTTTTAACAGTTTTTTTTTTATTGATTTAAAGATACTCACTGTTCCTTTTGCTAGTTGTTGTTCAGCAGCGAAAACTCTACCTCCACAGCGAGGACATCCTTCACCGGCTGGAGCCTTAATGGACGTCGTATCAGGGTTGTAGAAGGGTCTCATGGACGCAATATCTTCCTCCCTGCAATGAAATCACACCATTAATTGAAAGTTCAGTACACATATCAAAATAGTCTTAAAAAAAGAGCTTGTGCCAAAGGCACATGAACGGAACTAAATTTTGCAATGGAGACCTGCAGTTTCTGGCTCAGTTTACAAACAACGTAAGTTCAGTTAATTTCCCCATACACATAAGCGTTTTTATACGGATAAGCTAGAGATTATGGTTCTCGATTACAAAATGTAATCCAATAGGTTCGCGTCAATATGAAAAAACCAAGTTTATTCAGCCATTGCCAAAAATCATCGATCAACTCGTTTTTTTACAGGAGTGCGATTTTACAGTCTTTTGAAAATTTAAGAGAATTTGCTTCCCGTTACAGAGGAAATTATCGCGAAATCATCAATTCTCTGTCAAAGTAATGTAATATCTTGCTACCAAAATTGATAAAAGAAAAAAGGTACGTGAACTTACGTTAATCCGTCCGTTTGTAAAAATCCAGATCCGCAAGCAAATCCATAGCCATGAGGGCCCCACTTTTTGCCGTAACAAGTCTTACAATAGACATCCTTGTCAGGGCCGTCACAGGCTATGATAGAGTCCAGAGTTTTATTGCAATCCTTGCATTTAAAGCACTTGCGATGCCATTCCTGAAAAAAGACACTTTATGAATAAGTTAAGCATCTAAACACAGAATCAAAAAATAATGTTGCCTGGTGTGCGTTATCGTTTGATTAAAGCTCGAAGGAGATTTCGTTTCCTATAAATTACAATTTATTCATTTATCAGTGGTATGATCGATGATTATTTGAATCAACTTATTCAATTCGTTTGGCGTAGGATTCTTGATACAAATGATATTTGTGCTTTATATAATAAGTCGGAAACAGGGTGGGAAAGTAGTGATGGGTCCACACTATATTCTGATGAGAAATCAGAGCCTGCAGAAACACCATTAAACAGAATTGGACGTATTTCTATCAAACGGACCTAAGCGCCATAGGGTGGGGAAGGTAGAGGGGGGCTTGGATTGGCGGCGGAATCGGGCGTCCGGCTTATTCCGTCCTATACTCGCAATGCTTTTCCATGGCGCTTAGGTCCGTTTGACAAAACGCGCTATCCAGGATTCTAAATTCCTCAAAAGGAACTCCAATTGGCGCTTAGTTCCGTTTGATAGAAATACGTCCAATTAAAGATTCTTACCTAGAATAGTATGGACCTAGCTTTATTTTATTATAATTTTTTTTTCAGTACTTGGGCCACATTTTTTATATTACTTTCTTTAAATAGAGAAATCACCCTTCGCCAGTTTCCATGCGTGCAAAAGAAAACGGGGAGTGACTTACCCTTCCTTTCGCCAGAACTTGCTCTGCAGCGAAGACAACGCCACCACATCTGGGGCAGCCCTTTCCGGGGGGTGCTTTAATAGATGCTGTGTTCACGGTCGTCGTGTGAAGTGTCATCATCTCACTGAAAGAGATAAAATCAGGATTGTAGTTTGCTGATTAGTATGATTATAATACCCAAATACAAAAGAATTCGCCAAAGACTTTAACGCGAGGTAAGAAAAGGAGCGATAAAATAAGTTCGTTGCTTACAATCATTACAAACATTCAACTGAGTAGCAGTGGCGTGGCGCGCTTTGCGATGGATCGATCGATCTACACCGAAAAAAAAGTGAAGTTGATTTAACAATCTGGATGTAAAAAAAGTGTGAGAGAACTCAGATATTGCTAAATCACCGGCTATAGCAGTTAGTTTTACATCTTGACATTGCTGAAGTAACTGCTGTAACGGTTAATTCAGCATTTCGAAAGTTCTCGCACACTGCTTTCACATTCAGAATGTAAAATCAACTTCACTTTTTTTTTCGGTGTACAATTTAAACCTGCGGAAAAAGATCGATAAACATGATGTTCGCAACGAACACTTTAATAATCGATTCTTCACCACAGCTTCAAATGGGGGACGAACGATAATCGATCATTCACGCCTCGCCACCGCTGAGTAGTGGATGAATTCGTACAAAAATCACGCTGAACACATCAAAAATGTCCAACTTTATGTCTAAAACACGCACTTTACTTATTAAAGTACGTGTTTCGTAATTTCAAATATCCGAGGAAACTTGTGTATCTTTTTTGTCTGCAATCAGGTTTATACAGAGAGGAAGAAAACCTAACTTGAATAAACGCTAACAATCTCGCAAAGTATTCTAAAGTGTTCTCGCCGATTATTTAATAAAATTAATGCATCTGAATTTGCTTTTTCATCAGGAAAAAAACGAAAAGTAAGTGTTTTAAAACGACTGAGCTCATACTGAGGAAAGTTTGATTACAGTTTGCGAGATTATTCGTTTATGGCAGATTTTTTTACACTCTGTAAAAATTTGATTGATTGCCAGGCAACACACTAAATTAAAAAATGCATGATTTAAGATTTTCGATTCACGCTTTACATTCTTTTTGCACAATGTTATCTTTATTTTATCTACTCAGTTGGCTGCATGTATGTTTTACAAGTGACCAATTGCTAGTCATCGGTACACAAAATCTTTTTCCGCAGTAGCGAAATGACGAATTTTTCTCCTTCATTTCCGGTTATGAAGTGGAAACTGAACGAGTATAGGAAAATAAGATTTGCCTACAGGAAAATACAATGAGAAAAATTGGACATTGCGATACAAAAAACTGTTACCTTGGACCTTCCTAGTGTTCGTCTTTCCAAATAAATTATCATTGCATCAAGAAGACTCCTTATAAAATTCATTAATTTGTGGATATTTAAGACAACATAAGTTTATTCGTCGTAATGAGCCAATTCTACCTGCCGCATAAGACAATTTTACTATGCGACAAGAGATGTTTCGTCGCCACACGACTAAAACTTTATTTTGCCGTAGTTAGTTGTTTCCTTGACGTACTTGACGGATATTTCTCTCAGCACAATAAGAAATGGCTCCAGGAAATTTCGTCAACGATTTTTTGTCCGCGCACCTGTTTTGTCCAGTAGTTTATGCCCACGCGTAAAATAAGCAACTGTGATTTGGTCCAAGCCTTATATTTTAGTCCGTATGTAAAATCATATTATTGAGACTATCGAAATGAGAAAATTGAGAGAGAAGGAGGTGCTGTTATGGTGACTAATTTTTTAAATGAAATGTTACTCTCTCCTTTTGATTCATCTTTTCAAATTGTCATTGATGAATATTTGGTTTTATTCTATCCTTAATATTTTTGATATGACGTATACCTTATATACACTTTAAATGAAAATATTACTTCATTTTAAAAACATTTACATTTTTAAAACGTGGCAAGTACTTTTTAAGAGATGGGATCGATATTAATATCATTTACCCGCTATGAAGTTGAAAGAAACTGTACAAAAATGAATAAAAGAGGAAAAACCCAAGAAGCTCGCAATCATTGGTATTTTCACATCGTCCTTTTAGAGTCAAATATGTCCAATTTTAAGCGTTTGATTACGAGTGCACCACGCTGCAGCACAGTAAACGCACACAAAATAAAAGAAAAAATTAAAGTGCTTTGGAAGTCATTAAATTTCACACGGAACCACCTTAATATTTACAAAACACACATTATATTTTCCTTTACATATTTTTTTCCATCGATTTAAATGAGAATAATCCACGCAGAGTGTGCGAACATTTCAAAATCACGAGTTGAAACATGCTGACTCCGCGAGTTTAAATATTAGAGCCGAACAGAGAGCGAAGCTGCCTACAAACCTAAGTGGATACTTCACGCATTGCACAATGCTTGAAGTATCCACTTAGGTTTGTAGGCGCCAATGCACGGTGCGCGTTGACCGCTCTCCCGTCGCACCGAGCCGCAGCGTGCCACGGCGCCTTAAGCAACTATTTCACAACAGAGGTGTTGCACAGTATCATACGAAATTGAAGGCGCTCCAACATATTAAGGATGACAGGCATCCTTTAAGAGTACGGAGCTTTCCTCGCAAAATAAATCAAGATACTCCGGCACAAAAAGAGAGCTGTAGTCCAAAAACTCAGTAAGTGATAGCATCCGTATTTAATGACGTTCAGCATGATTTTTTAATGTCGTTAAAGGAGAAACTGACTCAATTTAGGCAGAAACATTCTTGAGTATGCAGTCAAGACAATTTTATTTTAAATCAAGAAGAAAGTAGCTGAATGAAAGCGGGTTTCTGTTTGATGTAAGTGACTTTTCTTTTTATGTAAGCATCTTTTCTTCTCTAAATAAGCATCATTTTCTTTATTGATTCCTGAGAAAATTCTCTCGGCGGTAAATTCGAGCTTATTTTGCTTGAACTAAGTCACTTTTTCCTATTCTGAAGTTCAAAAATCATGCTAAACGTTCTTGAATACAGATACTAGGACTTAAATGTATTCACATGTGGACTTGTGGACCAAAACTCCCTTGCCGAAAAAACGCGTGGACGTAAACTTCTAGAAAAACAGGTGCGAGGACAAAAAATCGTTGTCGGAATGTCCTATAACCTAAGAAATTGTAAAGGAAGGAGTTTCTTTGTCGCGATGAATCTAATTTTTCTTATTGCAGTCCGTTTTCTCTCTTTTCTTATTTTGCTTTCTTTCGACATCATGTCGAAATTCTTAAGAATGAATCATCAGATCAATCTTTTGAAGTTACTCGGGGATCAATCAACTCTGGTATCACATTAATATAACAACTACTCAAGAACTACTATACATGTGTTGCGTCTATAGAGACAAATCAATCGAATTAAAGAAATGGTTAATCGGATGGAGTATTAAAGACAGATCAAATGAAATTTCACAGGATGAGTGACTCAATAACAAGGTATTAAAGTGTAATGAATAAATAAATGAGTAAACATAGTAACAACGCAAAAGCACGCGCAAAAGCTTTATCACGACTACATCCATCACTAATTTGAAGGGAAAGCATTCGATACTTTTGGATGTTCATGAAAATTCAACAATTTGGAAGTATTCAATTGGTTAAGAGGCTCAGTCATGATACACAATAATTATATAGGTATAGTCAAGATTCCAAGTAGAATATGCGAAAAAAACTCTGGACGGTGCAAAACTCGATTTCACGCAAGGAGTAAAGTAATTGAGTGAATCTTCAAAAATGGCTACAGCTCGAATTAAAGTAATGTTTGGAAAATTGATACATATTACACGGCTGATAACAAGTTTGTTGAGAAATGTGTAAAGAATTAGTGATCGACAGACATGATAGTCGTGTAGAGTTGTTTTATGTACCTATTCGTATTAATACGAAATTATACGAGTATATATCCCACCATATGCATGCTGTTTGTACATCCGCCAATACACACCCCATCAATGATGCGTTTTATATTATTTTTTTGAATCTTTGGTTTTATGAAGATTCATAGCAATGTAACGCCCGAAAACAAACCGAAGTCCATAATTATCTTCAGCATTAAACAAGAACTTGTGATGTCAGTTTTAAAACAGGATTTTTCTTTATCAATTTGTGAATATTTGGAAGTAAGAAAAAAGGCACTGAGCTTTAAGTCATATGAAATTAATTTCCAACCATGTAATCATAGGTGTATTAATTAATTAATCTTTTTAATATTTATTTGGCTCAACCAATGTTTATTTTATTTAAATAAAAATTCAATTCATTAAAAAAAGGAAAAAGAAGTTGCTCATTTGATTCAAACAATGCCTAAAAAATATGAATATTTAATTTACTGTAAAACAGATTTACGAACAAAAACTCAAAAACAATATGTGACAAAACAATCAAAAGTGATAAACATTGAACTGCTTGGAATCGCATTTGTAAAAAAAAAAAATTGCAAAATAAATTGCAAAATTTCACGAAAAAAAATTTGCCTGGTTTTTTTTAGAGCCTGATGTAGATTTCTAAGAGCTATTGAGCTGTAGCAAAGTTTGAATTTTGAAGGGAGGAAAAACATGAATGACAAGTTCTTCAAAAGAAAAGGTCTAAGGGGGCGAGCAAAAGGGATGATGTGGAATATCACTCTACCTGACTTCAACATCAGTGATATCACAGACAAGGCCATTGGAGCCTATACCTCGAGGTCCGAATCGTTTAGCATAGCACACTAAACAGCAAGGAAACAAGAGGTCAGTTGTCAGATCAAAGTGAAATCATAAATACATACATTATATTGTACAATATCGGCTTCCTGATCCCTTACATACTGCACCTACTTTAAAAATGTTGAGCATGATGCCTACAAGAAAATCTGTGAAAATCAATCAAACCCGATTTCGAAGTAGAGAGAATATCTATCTCGAAAGAATGAATCACACTGAATGCCGTCTATCACTAAATAAAGCCCCTAAACATTTCGTCAATAATTTAATGAGAAAAATTTTCATCACTTAAGCCTAGTGGAAGCATAGCATGCAAGCCACTCCCCTCATTAGAGTGATACGTTGATAGCCTTTGAGAAAAAAAAGATGTTTTAAAATTTCCATCTTCATTATTTGAAGAAGATGAATCAATGGCGAGAAAAGAAAAAATTTTAAGCACAGTGACTAGATGTGTCGGTGTTGCAGCATTATTTATTTTAGAAATACACACAAATCTTAAATAATCAAACATTTAGATGATAATAATGGGGTTAATGAACCGGACAAATTATTTTAAAATTAATTGCTTTCTTCACAATTTTTGCCATGTTCGCAAAAGTAATGGGCCGGTTGCGTTGATCACAGAATCGTGTTTTGATGCATCATTTTTGTAGATTAGCTAAAAAAATCTGTCCAAACAGCAACTTTCTACGTTGAATATTAACCGACATATCGTCCTTTGCAAAGTCGTGTTTTTGACGTCATCCACCGCGGTAAAGCATAACATGGTATGTATTACCACGGTGGATGACGTCATAGTCGAGTTTTTCAAGGCACGATATCTCGGTTAATATTCAACGTAGAAATTTGCTGTTCGAACAGATCTCATTATTTTTAGCTAATCTACAAGAATCAAGCATCAAAACACGATTCTGAGACTAGCGCAACTGGTCCATCGTGGTGAGTGATAGACAAAGTGGCACCACTCTAATGAGGGTACTCTTTCCGAAGACACGAAATTGAGCAGAGACAGGTGGTAGGTAATATAAATGGTAAACACAGCAGCTCTTGGAATATGCGAAGCTCACACTAGACTTGAAAAAATAAATGGGCTCAAAAGGAGGAAGGTGAGAGAAGGAACATACCCATTATGGATGGGATCACTCTGCAATGCTCCGCCACCCTGGCCATATCCGTATCCTTTAGGCCCAAACCGTTTTCCATAGCAAACTGCATGCAAAGAAACGTGCGTTTACACAGATGACACATCTTAGATCAACGTTGGATATAAAAGATTTTGCCCTTACAGGTAAATTCGATTTTGCGATCATTGATTTACAACACGGCAATTTTTTTGCATGAAATAGTAAAACTTGTATTTATTTTTTTTTGGATCTTGGTGCATCCTGAAAATTGATAGGTGAAAGCTACGGACGTCAGGTGATGACATTTGTATTTCGAGTAAAAATTGTGAAGCTTAATTTTCTAGCTTCGATAGGTGGCATTCTTCAACTCCAAAAATGGAGAAATTTTTATAGAATTTCAATACTAGATAAAATCGAGATTGCAAAAATTTCCTTTGCCACTCCGGCCTCAATTTTATAGGTAATTTAGAAAACATTCTTCAAGCTACGGAAGTTATCTTTTTCTTGAAAAATATGAGTATGTCACCCGTCCTTCAAGTTTTTGCTTAGCGCACATTATGCCAAACAGGTACCAAACGAATGGATGCTTGTGATTTTAATGCTTATATTGTTCTATCTTTTAAACTTTGTATAGTTGTCTAATGATAATATTCCCAATAAGACTAAAGATCATTTTCACTGATAAAACCAAATTTAAAAAATAATATTTTGGGCTCAATTGTCTTCAGGGAAAATTTACTTCCTTACAGTACCTACTTTCAAATAACGCTGCTGTCTTCATAAAATCAGTTCAAATTTTAATAGACGTATAGCTTCACGTACTTTTTTTTATAAAAATTTCTACATGTTCTTTCTCAAAATCAAAGGTGATTTACTAGATACCATGGCACTCTGGACCCTTCAATTATATGCTTGAAAAATGGACTTATCAGTCACATTGTTTTCCACATTATGTGGCACCGAATACTATCCAACCTGATCCAATACTTTTTTCTAGAGACACATAGCAAAATCATTATTTTAAGTATCATTACATTCAGAACACAAAAAAGGGAGTATTTTAAGTATCAAGATAAAACAGGTGGTCATAACATAAGAGAAAACACAGTTTCTCATGCACACCACAACAATAATCTAAGAAATCATGGTGATTTTATAATTGAAATCATTGGCTCGAGACACCAAAAACTTACGAAAGTTTTAATTTTTTTCATTGTCAAACCGTGATTCATTCGGAATGAATTTTTAAAAAAATAAAAAATTAATTGAGTCACGATATTCAATTACATGCTATGAAGAGCGAATTCCGCAATCCATTTTCCTGATTCAAAAAAGGGGTAATTTCCTCGCTGAAAAAATAATTATCCCGATACACTTTACCCGTGATCTTCCGTTTTTTCTTTTTCCCAAATAAATTGTGCGAAGTTTATTGGACAAAGACGGCAAGAATTTGGAGTTAATCATCCCGAATTTTGTGTGCCCTCTGGCGGATGCTTAAAAATTATTAGAGCCTGATCACACTTTAAAACGCACAAGTAATGGCTTTTCTGGTAAGTACCAGTACAGTAATTTTCTAGAATATGTTGAAACATGAACGAGAAGCATAGATGTAAGATGGAGTATCATTTTTACCTTTGCAATAAATGTCTTTATCAGGACCCTCGCAACAATTTACTGAGTCCAACCTCTTCGTACATTCAGCGCACTTGAAACACTCTTTGTGCCAGCCCTAGAACATGCCAGTCAACCGTAAGAGTTTTCTCAAACACAATTTTCTAAATTTTCAATTTTGCACCATTTTCTTAATCGACAAACCAACGCTCCGTCTACTTTTTACGCTCATGACCCGATTACAAATTTGACCAATGTGAGGCTCTAAAAGGGAAAGGAAGAAAGAAGAAGAAAAATATCCTCCACTAAATATCTGGGACGCTTCAGCTACGTTTTCTACTCATTTTTCAAATTATTTGGCTGTACTGAAAGGATATTTGTTCAAAATTTCCTGGGGTCAATGTAAAAAACATTTTGGACTGATTTTAAACGTCAAAACAGAGTTTTTGAGTCCTCGAATTTGGGTCCTATGATCAAATTCCTCTGAACTACTGGAATGCATGATTAGAGTTGCGAGGAAAAAAAATTGAGTTCAATTGAATGGAGAGTCCCCTTTCTCACCACTTGTCATGGAATTTGAATATCTTCAGTAATTTTCATCGTCTATTCTAAATTTTTGCAATTAAAATATATGTTGTTCTTTTTTCTTTTTTCCTCTCTTCTTTCAGTAGAAACACAAAATCTGGCGTTTGAAAGGTAAACATCACTTTACTAAAGTCCCTTGCAAAACTCAATAGATTTTTGCAATCATTCCTTCTCCTAGCAACTTTGTACCCTTGTAACTCGGAGGGATTGGAAAAAATTATTGATTTTCACCTCTAAAATTGTCCTTTGGAGTTTTTTTTTACGTTAACCTTGGATCGTTAAATAGATACTTGTGTCTGCATGGAGCTCATTTTTTAAAGCTCAACTTTGATCTGTTAATCGTTCTAATTTTCGAGTCGAACGAAGCTGCCGAGAGGTTGCATACTCAAATATTTGAAGGCGATTTTTGCGACAATTTTCTTCATGGATAAATGCATGATTGAAATCGCACAAGTTCTCATAGATGGTCTCAGAATAACAACTGTTTTGCGGCTTTACAGTACAAACTCGTCTTCACAAACGAATGAGCGACGAGTTAGAAGTAAATCAGGGCCTTTACTCGTAGATTTCATTCCAAATGATGATAATCTAATAATGATAGTAAATAATTGAGTGTGTAATCGATTAATTTTGAACTACGGATGTCAGCGCCTTGCCATTCCATGCCAGCCCATGGATACAATTATTCGTACTCGATGGATGTCCGTATTGCATATGCAAAACACTAGAGGCTTTTTGACTTACTGCAGTAATGCATGTATTTTATATTAATTTGCCTTGGCATTCGATGAATACTGAATAGAGAATAAACTCTACAGCTTTTTGTTATTTTTCACGTCTCAAAAGTTCCCAGTTTAATTTCGGAAAAACGGTCGTTTGAGAAAAGGGGCAAAGGGGTAAAGAATTAGAAAGTTCAGGATGGTGAGAGGAAGATAACTATGAAAATAAGATTAGTATTGCACTTGAAAACCACAATTTAAATAATTCGCAAGTTTTTTCTCACAAACCCACAGATATATAAAACGCAATCATAAGTGTGCATATTCATCAGTATTTTAGAGTACCAAAAAGTGCTTGAGGGTATAAAGTCCTACCAGACTTCTTGTAAAAATGTGTTAATAAGGATTTACATTTTAAAAATATAGGAAATCGGGTTATTTCTGCATTGAAAGAGGATACTTCGTAATATAGTCAACCTCGAAGGAAGGGATTGCAGTCCCCAAAGTCGCTTATGAGAGAGAGTTTTGCAGTTGAAAATCAGCTTACTCTTTGTAGAATATAGTCTGAATACAGTTTCTTGACCGGAATGAGTAAAAATAAACCAAGCGACAAATTTGGAACCAGGGACAAGAGCTTTACTCTTAGAAAGTAGAAAAAGTTGAAAGTTTTGAAAGAAAGAGTTAAAATAATTTTTATTTCTCTGATAGAATCAATGTTAAAAATTAAGTTCAAACCCTAATTTCAAATTCAAACCACGTTTTCTAGATCTTAAATTTTTAATTGGAGACAATTCCCGATTATTCAAACTCAGAAATACACCAAACTCATTTTTTGCCAACTCATTTCTGCCATCACTCCAATTTTGCCTTGGTTTCTCTTTGCTCAGTTCGGTCCCTTTAATAAGGTCAAGATGCAGGATTAACATGGAGAGCATTCGTAAGAATCAGAATCAAAAGAAGGGCCATTAAAAGGAATGTAACATTAATTTGAACAGAGGGCGCATTCTTCCATGCTGAGAGGAAGAGTTTTCAGCAAGAGTTTACCTCGACAATAAATCAACCCATCGGGGCCGTCACAATGCAACACTGAGTCAAGTGTTTTGTGACATTGGACGCAATTGAAACAGCCTCTGTGATAGCCCTAAAATAAACCACCATCAGAATATTAACGGAGTTCTTGAAACTCCTTTGTTATTTCTTGCTGAGATGCTGAGCAACTCATGATTTGAAATCCTTCCATGCTTCAATACAGGACATTTTAATTTTTAGACTCTCATTTATTTGATTAAACTTTTTCACTGAAAAATGCTTGATTTTTCAGTATTGCTTTCTCACTTATCTTGTATTTAAATGGATGGCTCACAGTGCAGTGGCGAAGCGTGAATGATCGATTATCGATGTTTCTCCATTTGAAGCTATGCTAAAGAATCGGTTATTAAAGTGTTCGTTGCGAACGCCCTGTTTATCGACCCTTTTCCATAGGTTTAAATGGTGGGTCGATCGATAAGTCGCAAAGCAAGCCACGCCACTGATAGCTGAAAAAGGAGCTGTTTTCTCAGTAAAATCACTGATAATTACAATGAAGTCGCTAAAAAATTCTGAAGTTAATTATTTCTTGCGAATTGCGAAGGAGGTATACAAATCTGTTTTGAAACTTATGGAAATGTTTAGGAATTACGTTACTTCATGTTCCAATGAAAAAATAACGCAATACAAAAAGTATGCTTAGTCGCAACTGAAGGCAAGTGATTTCCGAATTGAACCGAGTAAGTGTTTTCCAATAGGACGTATTTCTACCAATCGGAACTATATGCACTGAGACATGAGCCCTGAGACCCATAAGAATATATGCATAACAGGGCTCACGTCATGATGCACAAAGTTCCGTTTGGCAGAAATACGTCCAATTGACGCATAAGCGCCACAATTTCGTGTTAGGATTATTGCTGTGCATACAAAAATGCATCTTACAGCAGAGCGATGCTCTAGAATATCAAATTTTAAAACTTGGGAAAATCTTTTGAATATACAGTTTTTGCAAACCGGTCACGATTGAAAAATGCACAGTTTTTCTCGTTTTTTTTTGTTTTTTTTTTGAAATAGTGATTGCGGTGCTTACGTCATTTCGAGAATAGTTGGTGCAGTACTAAAACTCTTTGCACACACTGTACCATTGCGAGCAGCCTCCCACAATATTTTTCAACTATTTTTGACAGGTAAAGGCAGTGAGTAGTGGTCATAAAAAATCAATGACGGGTAAACTGTAAACCAAAACGGGATTGGCAGAGTACTTACTCTTCCACGAGCTAGCATCTGTTCGGCGGCATAGACGCAACCTCCACAGCGGGGACAGCCTTGTCCTTCTGGAGCCTTTGCAATTGCTCGCACGTTTTGAGCACCACCAGGTTTCCCATTTAACCTATAAAGAGAAAGAAAATCATTAACCGTCAAACCTTTTCAAGTTTGAATTTTCACAACAGGAAGGGGAAAATAAGGTAAAATGGACCATATTGAGGGTTTTCCGGAGAGATTTTAGTATAATTAATTGATGTTAAGTTAGGTTGCATCGTGCTAATGAGTGTTAGTCGAAAAAGTCCTTCAGACAGGACATTTAAAAGGGTTAAAGCCCGAGAGGCCTTGCAATGTTTCAAAGTTTTACCAGACAGCGTTTTATCGTATGAAATGACGTCATTAAGCTTTATTCTGGAAATTTGTATCGAAAATTGAGAATAAAATTCAAAACAACCAGAAAAGGTTAAAAGAGAATTTGCGTTATTTTTGAGGAAATGAACGAATTGTCAAGTGAAACTTAACGACGTCATAACGCCCTGGTCCGGACCATTTACTTTATTTACATTTGTTTCTACCAGAGCCCGTCAAATTTCACTCAAAGGACTCTGGTGGGATATTTGAGCTGTACAAAGATAAACCAAAAGGTTATCTACATTTACTTCTTTTTTACTCATTCCAAAATTGTTTGGTGCGTGAGAAGATGAAAAATACGATGCAATCATATTTCAGAGACTACTTTTGTCATCATTATTAAATGATCGTAAAAAAAAGGGGAATAGCCTTCTTTAAGACAAAGTAATGATTACTCCAAGTTTTTCTTGAAAATTAGACTCTCGTAATCGGATTTCATGTTCACATAATTTTCATGAGATGTTCAAATTTTTTTTATTAGAATGGGGAAAAATTGAGTTGATATTGTTCTTGCGGTGTGCATGTTGGCCTTTTAGATCAATTTATGACATATACCTCAATTAGCACGTTTACGACGAGGGCTTTAAAACTCTTGAAATTTGAATATAAATGTACAAATCTGTCTCACTGCTCTGTATTTGTTATCATTAACTTTGAAAATAAAGGGTCAAGTGAGGAATTGACTTTTACGAGGTGCATTTTTAACAAAGAGCAGTAACATAGTATCTCTTTTAGGACGGAAACTGTGAATTCTCAAACTTAAAAACTTAAAGTAATTATTATCTTTGATTATATATAAGCTACTCTAGAATGTTGGTGCTCCGCAGGTTTAAGTAAACGCATGTTATGGTTATTTTGATTGGGTCTAATACTATTGTTAATGGAAAAACAGTTAATCCTTTCAAATGCATAAGCATTAATAAAGCTAATTTAGTTGCAAATTGAAAAAAGTTTGACTATACTGTACAGTTAGATTCAAATTTCAAAGAATTTTAATATACTGCACAAAGTTAAAGAACTTATCTCTTTATTACCTACACTCTATTCTTTCAAGAGATTCTAAACATCACGAGGTGAATAAATGCATTAGCCATTATAATTATTATCTGAGTTACAGAAATCATTTGCTGTAATTGTAACCATTTTATCTCAGTCTCTTGTATCAGTTTGTCGTTTCCCCTGGAGAAAGAGAAACACGTATTTGGAGCAACCTCTATTCCATATGGTTTCATTCATGTTTGGAGGTCTTTAAGTAGAATCACATTAGAAATGTAATTTTTAAGTAAAAAATTAACAAGGCAAAATTAAGAAATTAAAATGGTGAATTGCTGACAACTAGTTTTCTTTTCCCTTATATGACACTGAAAAGCTTCGATATTTCGAAAACCGAAGATTGCTGAAATGAAGAAAATTTTGAGACTGAAGTCGTGTGGACAGTTTTTTCTCTTTTTATGCGGATTTTTGGGGGAGGTGAAATTCCATTTTTATACTAAAAATTCATCTTCATCTGTCACTCTGCTAAATTACATAGAGGTGGGGAGGGCATTGTATGTTGTATTTGAAAATTGTCCGATTATTCCTATGGTTGGATACCTAATCATTATAAACCGCCACTTCGAATACAAAACTCATAAAAAAAGAGAGAGAAATTAAGAAAGATCCAAACCCTAGAAAGAACCAAATAAATTATATGAGATTTATTCTTTAAACCCTCTTCTGAAATTGAAAAACATTTAATTCCATTATTTTCAAATCAAATGAACTTAGATCGCGGATATCGGTATATTATTTATTTTCAAATCTAGCTTTGCTTAAAATTCTAGACGTGCGACAATCAATAATGGTGCTTTCTATATTAGTATATATTGCTCCCTGTAATGTAAGCCTAAATTGATATGTTGTGCCTGGCCTCAGAATCACTGCAATTTAGCCTTACGGTGAGCAGCTTAAATCACTTCCAATCAAAATATTTTACTGGACTTATGATGCTTCCATAAGTTCACAAGTTTAATAGCGTGGCTCCCAAGGAAAGAATCCTGTATTCGCCTTTACAAAATTTCTAATTGACAAAACTTAGGCCGCATTCATTGGGTGATGTTTTTGACTTTATCTCATAACTTGAAACGATATCCACTAAAGAATAATCTATGTCCTCAAAAACTGAATCGTGTCACGGCGCCATCTGCCTAGCTCGGACTTGCGGGCCGAATAATTTAATGTAAATAATTTTTCATGTGAGCTCTAATATTTGTCTCTCCTAGTTTCCGCAGGGATATCAAAAGTATCAAAAACACGAAGAGCGGTGGTGCTCCCATTATATGTAATAAGGAAAAACAAATTCATCGTTCACCATTCATTCCATCAAATAAGGTGCTTTTTCTCTTAATAGTAACCACAAAAATAAAAATAATACGAAATGGAATCATCCGCTAATTTCCGTGGTCATTTTCTTTATTTCAGGGTTTGCGAATTAGGAATTCTACCCGCAACTCTTCATGGGCTAGCTGATGACGTGCTGATACAATTTTTTTTTTTTTTTTTTTTTTTTTTTTTTTTTTTTTTTTTGTCCCACTTCAAATAGCCCACAAGGGCTAATCCTGCGCTTCAGTCAATTTCGATACAACGTCAAGGATGTAATCATGAATAATAGATTCCGAACCTGCATGGAACTAATTAAAATTTGCGCTCAGTTCATCACGATTGGATTAGGCCATTAAATGAAAATCCCTTTAATGTGAAGAAATTTAGCAACATCCACTGAGTTGCAGAGCTCACTTCTTCGTTTTTAATTTTTATCCATTTTCCATTGATTAGCATTTCAAGGGAATATCAAAGGAGATTTGCATTGACACAATTATGCCAACTGCATAAATAGGTAGCAGTTCGTAATCTTGGACCTTTTTTTACCAGTTTTGACGTACGACATTCCTAAACGAGGAACCATAGTAAGGTAGAATCGAAGTTCAATTTTTACGGAGTACAAATTAACATATTTTATTCATGAATATAAAAAGTATTACTTTCTGTAAACGAAAGTTGTAGTTTCCCGAAGTGAGGTGCGTGATACGGTGGTCCAATCATCGATCCGCACTGTTCAAGTGTTCACGTGTCCTTGAATTTTTTACGAGATTGCGTGCACATATTTTTTTTTTCACTCGTGTAGTTATGAATTAGATGTTGATTGAGGAAAAGACAAAATTTGAAAGCGAACAAACCCAAAGCAACTTTGTACAAAAAATAAAAAACTTAGAAGCAGAGCAGTCTGAGAGAGAGAGAAAGAGGTAGAGGAGGAAGAATGAAAAAAAAACGAGTCCTATGAGCGAGTGATTTTAGAGGCTACTACTATGGCAAATTTCAACAGAGGGAATTGCAATCAGAATAATACACTAACCAGTGGCGTGGCGTGAATGATCGATTATCGATATTTCTCCATTTGAAGCTATGGTAAAGAATCGATTATCAAGGTGATCGTTGCGAACACCCTGTCATTTGATTCTTTTCCTTAGGTTTTAATGACAGATCTGTCGATGTATCGCAAAGCAAGCCACGCCACTGACACTAACCACGAAGATTTTGTACGATGAACCTTGAGAAAATTCAAAAATCATGGGAAATACATTTCAAGAGTCGATAATCACGGTGTTTTGTATCCAAAAACACAATCAACATAATATAATTCGAGCTTTGAATTACAAGAATTTGTGAACAATATTTTAGTCAGTCTGAACGACTTGTGGATGGCGAAATCCGGAACTCATGTTTCTCAGTTTGCGACGTTGCAAAATCTCAGTCTATGATTAAAAATCAACAAATTTCTTTAAAAATGACCGTGATCTTTCTTCTTTCCTCGGTGGGCTTTTTGTGAAAATTTTGAGCGACACGACTGGCTTATTGCCATTTGAAAAAGTAAAACAAGGGCGGGAGTTTTGAAACACCGGAACCAAGTTTAGAGAATTCAGCCATCGTTATATTTTTCGATTCCGGTATTCTAATGTGCTCGAGGTCCGATTTGGGAGACGTGAAACAAGTATGCATGGATCAAAGACAGGTCATTAAACCGCTTATCTTTCATCGACTTTTGCTATAAATGTTGAAAATCGAAGAATTTCTGAAAGGATTTTAATCTTCTTCTCAGTTGGGGCAGTGCGCGATGCATTCTGTCGTTTTGAAGGAGGAATTTGCATGCACCAGAACCTCCGAATTTTTAACGCGCGTAAAATGTTCGTGATAAATTCTTAGGATATGAAGTTTGCGCACAATCCTATACATCCATCCATTTACAATCCCGACGAGTCCTATATCTTCAATGAATGATCGATCATTCTGTATTATTCTGATTGTATCTTTCTGTGCTTCAAGCAAGCGGTAAGCGTGACTATGTAAGCGGAGGTTAGAGCCATTTCAATTGAGGATTCGTAAGGTTCTCACCATTCAACTTAAAGGCAAAGGTCGCCGACTGTGGGAATACTTCCTCGAACAGGGTCGAAAAAAAGGTTTTCCTGGAGCTGATTTCTTGTCACGGCACTTAGCTGCAGACGCTCATCGTGCCTGCCCTAAAAAAATTTACGTCCGACTTTTTTCCCTTTTAGACGAGACAGACTTTTACAAGCCTTGGTGAGTTCACGCGTGGTAAGTCCCCTTATGCCCAGAGGGTATGATAACTGCCTTTTTACTGAGGTTTCACTTCTTTTTTGACAAAAATCTTTCAAAAAATAC